CTTCACCCCGCCTAGACCGATTCCAGGGCCTTGTGAGCAGCCTCTTCAGACCTACAAGAAGCCTTGAACCTGAGCCTGATGTCCCCAGGGGCTGGTGGGGAGCAAGGGGAGAGGAGTATGAGGGAGTGGTGCTTCCCTTCAGTCATCTGCCTTTGTGGCTCATATCTAAGGATGTGAGCTCTGTAGATGAGATTCCGATAGCCTGACCCTAATGCCATAGATTAAAGGCATAGAAGTTTAGAGGAAAATCCCATTTTCCTGGAAATTGGCTTTGGAATCAGAGACCTTGGATTAAAATCTCACTGCTTCTGTGACCTTGGCTTCTTCCCTTGCCTTCTCTCAGCCTGTTACCTTATTTATAAAATAGGGGGAGGGGGTATGCTGGCAGTTAAATCTATACTTATATCCCTAAATTTAGGCATCTCTCTGGCCATAGTGGCAGTAGGCAAATCCCAGTGAAGGTCAAAGACAAAGGGAGGGCACTTTGTGTGTAGAAATTGAATGAGACCTCTTCCAAGCCATCCCTCTGTGTGCTTTCCCTGATATGTACAGTCTGGAGAGCTGGAGACTGTTAGAAAGAACACCACAGAAACTTGAGTGCTCCCCAGAAGCAGCCAACATCAGCAGCTGACGAGGATTTCAGACGCTATTACAGCTGGGATGTGTGGAACATTCCCTCTTGGTAGACAAGAGGCTTCCATGTTTGAGCAGAAGGATCAGGGCTTTAGCAGCTGAGGCAAGGAAGGCACCCTGCCCGACCTTCCCCCAAATCTATTTTTATTGATCCCAGTTCTGTATTCTTCCTTGCTGGGCTGGTCATTTCAGAAAGAGGGATCACCAAATCACAGAGTCCCCAGGACACCAGGGAGCACAAAGACTGTCTGGTCCAGCTTACACCTAAACACGAAGTCGCTCAGCAACATGCCTGTTGAGTGACCATCTGACCTTTGCTAGGCGACCTCCCCAGAGCGACTACCACCTCTGAAGCGGCTCCATTTGCTTCTGTGTAGTTGTATGAAGTTTTTTTTCCCCCATCCATTTATCCTACTTCTGCCTTTTGGGGCCCAGCAAAACAAAACAAAATAAGATTATTCCTTCTTCCAGGTGACATGAAAGGGTGGTGGAGGGGGAAGGAGGAGGAGACAGAGAGAGAGAGAGAGAGAGAGGAGGAAGAAGAAGAAGAAGGAGGAGGAGGAGGAGGAGGAAGAGAGAGACAGAGATATGGAGAGAGAGATGAAGGGAGGGAGGGAGAGAAAGAGAGACAGAGAGCGAGGGAGGAAGAGAGGAGGAGGAGGAAAGAAGGAAGGACACTATCATGTTTTTGAGCTCTCTAGTTTCTCCAGTAGTCCCTTGTATCAGAATCGAGGTCCTCCATCCTCCAGACACCTCTGGACAACACTGATGAGCCACCTTCCCCTGTTGTGTGCTCCCCATGGCACACAGTACTCCACACTGACCCTGATCAGGGCAGAGTACAGGAGGACCGTGCCTGCCTCAATGTAGCCCAAGACTTCATTTACTTAGTTTCAACCAATGTGCTCTGTGTGTGACCTGTGCAGCACTTTTCAAATCCTTCAGGAAATTTGCCTTTTGCATTTGTCCTCTAACCCTTAGATGCACATGACATTATTCCTTTTACAAGTCCCTGCTAAGACTGTTCCCCGGTCCAGGATCCAAAGCCAGATTCCCCAGGATCCTTCCCCAGAGACACTTTTTCAGGTTGACATGAATCCCAGGATGGCACAGAGCAGAGAAGTTGTCCTGGGTTCAAATTCCAGCTCTGCCCCTTATGGGTAGGACAGACGCTGGGCAAGATACTGCACCTCTGTGAGGGAAATGGCTTCAGTAACCTCAGAGGCCCCTTCCAGCTTTAAATCAGTGACACATAAATGACTTCTCTTTGGATCCAGCCATCTAAACCATTCCAGACTCTGCTAATTGTCCTGCCGGCTAGCTCACATCTCTTAGTCTTGTCAAGAGGAGAGCATGAGAAGATTTGTCCACTGCTTGGCTAACATCTAGATAAACTACTCTAGGTCACTAGGTGGTGCAGTGGAGGGAGCCCTGGGCCTAGAGTCAGGAAGGCCTGAATTCAAATCCAGCCTCAAGCACATTCTGGCTATGTGACCCTGGGTAAGTCACTTCACTTCTGTCTGCCTCAGTTTTCTCATCTGTAAAATGGGAATCATAATAACCCAACCCCACGGGGTTATCATGAGGTTCAAGTATGATGCCATTGGTAGAGCAGTTTGCAAGCCTTGAAATGCCATTTAATTCATTATCATCATCATCATCATTCAGTGCCATCCACAGCATTCAGCTGATCTAGCTGTGTGACCCCTGAAGTGCCAGGCATTCGTGGCTCTTGATGAAGCCTCACCAGCCCTTTGAGATCCCTGGTCCTTTTACTGATCCTCCCTTCGGTCTTAGGTTGTTCTGGAATTGTGCTGGGCCTTGAGATCAAGCTCCCCGGCCTACGTTTAGTGGAGAATCAAGATGGCTCCAGAGAATTTTCTCAGCAGCAGGGCAGTTTCCCCAGTGAAATAAGACCGGGAACAAAGTTTAAAATAGCTCTGGGAGCTCCAGGCTCATAATGCAGTGCCACGATCAGAAGGAACCCCCCAAAATAAGGGACTTACGCAAAAGAGCTAGCACAGTTCCTTTCCTGTCTACACTTGGGTCCGGGCCACAGAATATTTTTAGAAGATCATTATTTCAGCTAAGTCTTATGCAAGACTGGGCCAGATCATAGGCACAGATAACTCTGGGAAAAGAAAAAAAGCATTTAAAATACAAAACTGAGGGCCATGCAATCATAATGACCAAGCTTGAACCCAGAGAAGAGCTGAAAAAATGGTCCTTCCTTCTTTGCAGAGGTGGGGAGCCTCTGGGGTGGAATATCACATACACTGCCAGATACAGTTGATGTGTTAGTTGGTTTGGCTGAAGTGATTTGTTTTTCCTTCTAAAAACAAAGGTGTGGCTTGTGTTGGGGAGTAGGGAAGATTTATAAGCAGAATATATCAATAAAAACATTTTTAAGAAAAAACCATTTTTTAAAAAAGGGTAAATATGAGCTCGATAGGGAGGGCATGTCCCTGTTACAATGATGCCGAAGCAGGGCTGGGGAACCCTTCTGGCCACAGAATTCTTGTATTCAGCCTGCTGGGCTATTCCAAGGGAAGAGCGTTGCTCCCATCACACGTCACCGGCATCATCAGTACTTCACGTCTGCATAAAACTGGAACATTTACGGAGGGCTTTCCTCACTGTGGCTGTGAGCAGGTGGTGCAGCAGGCGGGGTTATCTCTGTTTGGCAATGAGGAAACGCAGGCTGAGCGGGGCTCCCTGGTTACAGCGGGCTCACGTTGGGCACTTCTGCTCGTCGGGTCAGAGCACCGCGGGATAATAAGAATTTAAATTTGTGAAGTTCCTATTCTCCAATCCCATCCCACTCTGTTAACTTGTACTGAGTGGCTGCTCTGCAAAGCAGTGTGCTAATAATCCCTGAGGATACAGAGTCAAAGATGAAATGACCCTTGGGTATTCTAGGGAATTTTGAGCTGGATGGGAAAACATAATTATAGAAGAAGAAAATAGACTTAGATCAAAGACCCTCCACCTCCCAATTCTTTGATTATGGGAAGAGAGAGCATTTTACAGATGGGGAAACTGAGCCTGTGATGAATGAAAAACATAAGAGAGTCTCTGGATAATTAATAATCAATTTATCAATTAGGTTAGCTAATAATCAATAAATTGATGGTCATTCGTTTCTCTTGGTGACCAAAGACACCTAATGGAGATACTAAGAGCCTTAAATATATTTTTTTTTGAAAGGGAATGCCCTGACAGAAGAAGTTAGTTCTGATTGTGAACAATTAATGGGGGAGGTGGGCTAGAAGTCTTCAGCTCCTCCTGCTTCGAACGTGGCTTGATCACGCGACTCAGCCATCTCCAACACTCTGGACAGGGGAATCCATTTCCACCCAGACCACTCTGGTTGGTTTTCTCCTTGATGAGCTGGGTCACTCTAAACTCCAGTGGAGGGGTACAAGCGCATGGGCTTACTCCCCAAGGGCAAGAATTCACCCAGATTGGATTCTGATTACCCTCTATGCAGAAGTGAGGTCTCCTAGTTGGCTGGGGTCCTGCCCGAGATAGAAGAAACAGTAAACATCAAAACGACAAATTAAGTCTAGATTTGCAGCGTTTTCTGAGGAGTATGGGCTCACTGCAAATTTAACAACCAGCTCACCCCTAGAGGGAAGGGTCCACACTCAGCAGACACATCATGTGCCACCAATTCAGACCAAGGTAAAAGGGTCTTCTAAGCAGTTACCCCTTGAAAACAGAAGTGCAAACAGAAGCGCATTCATGAACACGCTCGTCCTTCCTTGGTTTTGACATTTGTCTGCACTGATTCCTTTACTGGTGACATAGGTACATTCTGGAATTCCCTGGTGGCAACACGATGACAGTTTTTTCATCTCAGTAGCACAGGCAGTCAGCAGGTTAGACTTTTCCAGTATTCATCCCTCTTAATGGAGAACCAACTTCTAACAGAGGCAAAGTAATGAATAATGTGATCGTGGAAGGCCCTGTTGGCACAAGAACTTAAGGCCAGGCTTTTGAGTAGGTGTTCACAGCTTATCAATGAAGCTGTGTACCTCTGGAGAAAGAGGCAGGTACAATGTATCGACCCCTAGCAGTACGGATTCCTTTGCACACTGATTTTGGCTCATTTGTGAGCCCTAAGACTCAGGCACAAACTGAGGTGTGGGAATGGATCCGAGGCAGACCAGCTTGGAGACGACCCAGCGGTGGGATCCAGGCTCCCTCTGGTCCAGCTCTGCAGTGACTGGGGAGGCTGACTGTCAGAGCTGATGAGTTCCATTAAGCAGGCTCGAGCAGAAGACCTTTCTTATGATGCCTGTGCATCCCTCCTCCCCCCAACTCCTGGCACTGCTGCCTCACATCCCCTTCTTCTTGTCTTCCAGGTACAACGTGTTTGATTGCGCTCTTGTCAGACAAAGACCTTACTGTGGCCAATGTTGGCGACTCCAGGGGGGTCCTTTGTGACAAAGATGGGAATGCCATCCCCCTGTCTCATGATCACAAGCCGTACCAACTGAAGGAAAGGAAGAGGATTAAAAGAGCTGGTGAGCCATTGGGTGCCCTTTGGATTTCTTTTCTTTTCTTTTCTTTTTTTTTATAAAAGTTATTCTTTATTTGTCATTCATGTATTTATTATTAACTTATTATTCTTGTCTTTTTTAAAAATGGATTTTGTTGACGCATCTTGTCCTTACAACCCCATCATTTCCAGATTTATCCCTCTCTCCCAGCGGTCCTTCTCTTCCCTTTAAAACTCAGTGCACATTTTCAGTGATGTCAGACATCAAACAGCTATGGCAGAAAATAGATTATTGAAGTGGAACTAGAGATAATGTTAATAGTGGACACACGTACCTTGCACATGCAAGGTTTATCCAAAACACTTTGCATGTATTGTCTTTATTGGCCATTATAGCAGCCCCCAAAAATATGTATGAGTAGTATCATCCCCACTCTACCAGTGAGGACCCTGGGATTTCCTCAGAAAGGTGAATGACTCGTCCAGGGTCACACGGTTCCTAAGTGTCCAAAGCAGAATATGAACACAGGTCTTTCTAGCTCCGAATCCAGAACAAAATTATTTTAAAGAAATATTAAATTAAAGAAATTATTATGATATAATTAAAGAATGCTGGACTTTCTCAATTCTGGATTCATAGGGCTCTTTGCTGTTGCTGAGGTTCTCTTTTGCAGCAATATATAAAAGTAAAGATGTAAAGAACAGCAGCCACACCCCAGTTGTTGGTGTGTAACTAGAGTTACCCATCTTGGATGCATAGCTTTATCTGAAACTAGGTTCTAAGTGCTAAGTCACAGAATCGTAGGTTTAGAGCTAAAAGAAACCTTTGAGGTCCTTTAATTCAGATTCTTCATCTTCAAGATGAGTAAACCGAGGCCAAGAGAGGTTAAGAGACTTGCCCAAGATCAGACAGATAAAAAGTGGCTGAGGTGGGTCCTTTGGTGCCAGATCATGGGTCCATTTGATCGTACCATGATTCTCCCACATCCTGATCCTGATCTACCCAAAGCTTAGAAACCAAGATGGCGCTAGTGAGCATGGCCCAAGGTACAGGCTAGATCTGGGCTGGCTCCCAGTGAGTCAGTCCTAGAGGATCAGTTCTAACTCAGAGGACTGTGTGGGCCACTGTGGGACCCTTGGGGTCAATCAAACCACCTTCAGGGGCCTGATGGGAAAGCCAGTTCATTGGAAGTGAAAGAGAGCAGAAGTACTGCTGGGTACTGCCACTGCCAGGGCTGTGGGACAGTCATGCTTTGGACGGCCAGAGGCCCTCCTAGACTGAGTCTCCCAGGTCTCACTTAGGACCCTGGGACATCTGAAATTACTTCATGGGCTCACTCCAATTGAGAGATGCCTGATTGTCGGGCTGGCTGTGTGCTGAGCTGAGGACAAGTCAGGGAGCCAGATGTGAGCCGCTGTCAGCTGTCCCTGATCACTTGTCACAGCTCTGGGAACGGCAGTCACAGCATGGAAGGGGTGTCTGTCTGTGTGGAGTGAGTCAAGAGAGAGCCCTGGAGGCAGGGATGGCCCAGGCTTGGAGTGGAAGACACCAGGAGAAGTGGGAAAGACTGAGCCCCCTCTTACCTCGTGGGGACCGCCGACCCAGCAAGAGCCGTCGTCAGTAGGGACCGAGACCTAAAATTGTGAGTTTGTGACTGGACCATTGATTCTGAGGCTGCTCGATGGAATAGCAGATTGAGTACTGGATGTGTGAGACAGTGAGACCCAAGTTCAAATCCTGCCTCAGACATTCACTGGTTGTGTTCTGGGGGCAAGTCACTTAGCCTCTCTCAGACTATTGCCTTGTTTTTACAACAGAGATAATAATAGCACTTATCTCCCAAGGTTTCTGTGAGAATCAAACAAGATAATATACATAGTAGAGTAGGAGTAGTAGTAGTAGTCATGGTGATGGTGGTACTGGCAGTGATAGTAATAATAACAATGGCCAGCATTTACATAGTGCTTATTATGGACCAGGAACTGTGCTAAGTGTTTTAACATTATTATTCCATTTGATCCTCACAACAACCCTATTGTTGTTGTTCAATAACGTCTGACTCTTCATGGCCCCATTTGATACAGGAGTGGTTGGCCGTTTCCTTCTCCAGCTCATTTTACAGATGAGAAAACTGAGGCAAACAGAGGTTAAGTGACTTGCCCAGGGTCACACAGCTAGTAAGTGTCTGAGGTAGGATCTGAACTCAGGAGCTACTGACTCCAGGCCTGGCATTTAGCTTACTGCACCACCACCAGCTGTAAAGTGCTTAACAAACCTATAGGACCCAAAGTGCTGTAGTATAAATAATAGCTACCTGTTAATTTTATTATTATTCCATTGGTATTAGGCATTAGCCTCCAAACATTTTTTATTGCGCACCCCTATCTATGAAAAATTGTTTGCATGCTCCCCACTATATGTATACAGGCAGCAAACACAGGTCTGTGATAGGGTCCTTTGGCTGTACCAGACTACGGCCAAAGGGTCTGTGATAGAAAAGGGGTTGGAAAGGACTTCCATTTCTGCAGGCCGAGAACTGAAAACTATGTCCTTACTCCTGAGGCAATTTCAGTTGTGGCCCTGTGCAGTGGAGAGGCGGGGAAGAGAAGGAGGGAAAGGGTGAGAGAGAGGGGAAACAGAGAGAGAGCGAGAGAGAGAGAGAGAGAGAAAGAGAGAGAGAGAGAGAGAGATGGTGCAGAGGAGAGAGGGCTGAAACACCATGCAAGGACCTGAGGTCAAGCGCCAGTGAGTACCTAATTTCCCTGGGCCTCAGTTTCCCCATCTGTAAAATGCCGAGTCAACAAGCATTTATTAAGTGCTCACTGTGTGCTAGGCCTTGTGCTTGTGCTGGGGGTACAAAGAGCCCTTGAGGCACTCATAGTCTGATGGGGGAGGCCACATGCAAGCAGTTCTGTGCACTCAAGATGATATACAGGGTTCAGTGGAGGTAATCACAGAGGGAGGGCACTTGCTTAAGGGAGAGAGAAGGTGGGATCTTAGCCAGGGTTCCAAGGAAGCCGAGAGCTGAGGATGAGAGTTCTAAATGTGGGAGACAGACAGCCCGGGAACATTTTTTGGGAACATTCTTTGGTCCTTTCCAGCTTGAAAGGTATGATACGATCTCACCCACTTATTTTACAGAAGAGAAAAGGGTGGCACTGGGGGTCACAGAGGCAGTAACATTGTCTGGATTCAAAGTCAGGCTCTGAACCCAAATGCGCGCTCTCTCTCTCCTCTCAGTCTGTCTGTCTCTGTCTCTCTGTCTCCATCTCTCTTTCTCTTCTCTCAGTCTATCTGTCTCTGTCTCTGTCTTTCTCTCTGTCTCTGTCTCTCTCTCTCTGTGTCTCTCTGTTTCTTCTCTCTCTCACCCTTTTCCTCCCTCTCTTCCCCCCTCCCCACTTCACAGGGCCACAACTGAAATTAGCTCAGGAGTAAGAACATGGTTTTCAATTCTTGACCTGCAGATATTGAAGTCCTCTCAAAGCAGGCACTTTCCATGGCACTTAATGACATTTTCATGAGGGCTGATTTATGCTCTAGTAGAATGAAGACTTTCTGACCCTCACTCCTGTTTGTTTGCGTAGCACCTTACATTCCGCTTAACACCCTGGGCAGCTCACCAGTGCTCCTCCTATCCACGTTCCGTTTGCTCTCTTTGACATCCGGTGACCTCTGGGTCCTTAGTCTGAGACTTGACCAGGATCCTCCCTGTGCAGTTTGGGTTAAGCCATCGATGGACTCAAAGCTTCCTACAATCTGCCTCTAATTGAGAGCCTAATAAACACGAGTTTTCAAAGGAGCACATGAGAGTGCTGAGCCCCAAAGCCTTTTATTTCAACTTAAAATCCTGCTTCAGCTGCTGCCTGAAAGCAGGAAGAATTTTGATGAAAAGCTTGGTCAGGTTCTCTGTAGAGAGTTTAGGTCCTTCACTGGACCCGTGGCCGTCTCTAACCTTGATTGACTAATGGACTGCACAAGAAGAGAGCGGGGCTGCTGTTGCTGATGAAGGCAAAAGCTGCCTGCTCCTAAGAGTTTGCCAGAATCTGTGGGTATAACATCATACGCACGGGCTTTGTGTAACTGTTCTTCCTATCTAATCCAACAAGTATTTATTAAGTCCCTGCTCAGTATAGGACACTATGCCCTGGGCCCTCAGGATACAGAGATAAAAATGAAATTTGGGCTTGTTGGAAAGTAAGTGTGAGGTAACAAACCAAAAACATGGGGGGGGGAGAGGGAAAGGGAGGGGGAAAGGGGGGGGAGGGGGAGAGTGTCCAGCAGCTGCAATGCAGGAGGCACCTTCCATATAAACAGAGGAGAGTACTCTCTGAAGTGTCATCCTAACATCCAGGTCTCTCTTTGCAAATGTGACTGATTTCCAACCTTTCTCAGCACCACTATCCTATTCCTCTTTACAAAAATGTAGCACCTGGGATACCCTTCTCATATGTGGGCCCCCTAGAAAATCTGCCTGGGTTCAGGGTACCCAGTGACTATTCATCCACTCAAAAACATAGCTCACAAGCCCCCAGCCACATTTTCTTTTATTAGTCAGACAAAGAATATCATTCAGCCAAGTAAAAATCATTCAGTGCAACAGCAGGATAAGTTGCAGTTGAGCATCCCCCACCCTAATAAATCTGGGGCACTTTTTCTTTAAATTCACAGACCATCCATGGAGAAACTGGACAATGCATAGGAAAGGGGGCATTCACATAGACAGAAAATGCATGTGACTAACACAGCACATGAGAAATACATGTGGCTGCGACATAGGTGGAAGAAAGCATGTAGTGAAGGGCACACGTAGGGAGAGCGGGTGTGATTAGGAGTGGAAGCGCACGTAGGGAAGGTGCCTGTGAGCCACCAAACAGCGTCCAAGCAGAGCGCACCTGGGTTAAAACTAAATCCACCTTCTTAACTGGTACATTGCAGTCTGACGTCCCCAACAGCTCTCTGACTTAGGGGCAAAAATGTCTTCTAACTCCCACTTAACTACTTACAGAGATCCTCTCTCCCAAAAC